GGAGGTGGGTGCCGGTGAGACGGTTCAGCTCCTCAAGGATCTCCAACTCCTTCTGGTACATCTGCAGGAGAGGTGCTGCTGTCAGTACTGTGGGCTCTGAGCGGGCCCTTGGCGCCAGCCACAGCCACGGTTCCACAGAGCCACCGGTTCCCTGCCACGTGTGTGGGGGAGAGGGAGACGCTTCCCGCCTGGGCACAACCAGACACAGACCAGCCACCACCCACCTTCCCCAGCTCCGGGGCATCGCCGTACCTGTTCCCACTCGTATTTTGTGTTGTGCTGGTAGCCAAGCAAATGGCACAGTCCGTGGGCTGCTGTCACCTGTGAAGAAAGACGAGAACAAACGACAGGTATGACAAACTGAACCCCAGCACCACAGAGCCCCACCACGGACAGGGGTGCGAGGAGTCAATACCAGAAGCTTAAACAATTCAGTCATTCTGTGTAAACTATGTACAAACAAGATAAGTAAGCCTACGTGCTGAACTGTTCTACCACAGAATAATGCACTCAAGGAAAATGGGATGCTTCCTAAAGCTAGCTTACTCCAGGAAAGCAGCATTCTGCTGACCAAGCCCGAAAACAGGTACCAGTATATAGGAGAAACAACCTGAATTTATAGATAGTACGCATGCTACTTATTAACATATATATAAAATTTCAGAAATAAGCAGGTAGTAACATAAATGGTCATACATTTAATGTATATAATGAATGTGCTTTTACCTATCGGTGTACGCGTTAGGTGGAGAAATCCCCCGTGTACCCAGTGCTGACCAAACCCACGTCAGCTTCCTAAACTACCACTGAGTTTGGAGAGTTTTCTCGGTTACAATTTCTGATGCTCAAAATGACAACAACGAACAGTGAGCGTCCGAGCTCCGCAGTCAAAATAAGGAAGTTTTAACCCACAGAGTTCAATCTTTCAGGGCAAACTGTAACCCCAACGCCTCATCGTCCAGCCGGGCAAGCGGCAGCAGGACAAACCCCGCGTGTCCCCTCCCCGGACCGCTCACCAGCAGGACGCCGTCGAAGTCCTCCCCGGTGTCGCGACACTGCTGGTGGATGTACTCCACCCCAAGAAAGATGTCCCCTAAGTTGTACTCCTCACGGCAGCGCGGCCGCGGCAGCTCCCCCGCTGACACGCGGTGGAAGGGGAAGGAGAGGACGTCGGTGGGCTCCGGTCGCTGCCG